CAGTAATCATGTTTTTAATGAAATCTCTGTGTCCTGGTGCATCGATAATAGTTACGTAATATTTGGAAGTTTCAAATTTCCAAAGTGCAATATCGATAGTAATACCTCTTTCTCGTTCAGCCTTCAATTTATCCAAAACCCAAGCATACTTGAAAGATCCCTTACCCATCTGTAAACAATAACATTCACAAAGTTAAAATAATGTATGAAAAAATTGTTTTAAATTATATTGTAAAAATTTTTGGATGTCACAAACAACTTTTTTACTGCTGTATTGTCATTAAAAACTATTTCATTAATTCAAAACATTTATTAAAATAAATTAATATACCTATCAAATAATTAATGAATAAATTTTAGTTTTATGGCTTTTAATTTAAAAAAAAAAATTTAATATCAACTGAAACTTATTTTAAAAAATTTAAAACAAAACATTGAATTAACTTACTTCTTGGGCTTCTTTTTCAAATTTTTCAATTGTACGTTTATCAATACCTCCACATTTGTAAATAAGATGTCCAGTGGTGGTCGATTTACCAGAATCTACGTGCCCAATAACGACAATGTTAATATGAATCTTCTCTTTAGGCATTTTGATCGATGATTTACTGATTTACTGCTCAAAACTGGAATTACTTCTATAAAGAAAAAAAAAAAATTACTTGTAATTAATTTTCCCCATACAATTAAAATTCAAAAATGTTAAGCAAAAGTAATCAAATTTAAATGCAATTTAAAATATTCCCATGGATTACAACAAGTTGTGAAATTGCAGGATACCAAATCAGTTCCTAAAACATTATGTTATAATACTTATTAAGTATAATAAGTATAGTCTTTAATCAAAACCAAAATTAATTCACTCATATAATTTACATTTCAAATAAAATATTCTTAATTGAACATGTGAAGAGAATTTAACACAGAAAGTAATATATACTCAAATTAATATTGCCAATAATAAAATAAAACATAAAACATGAGTATTAAAATAAAAATAAGCAATAGGTACACATTGCTTAGAGGCAATAGTGAACAAGTACCTAAAATGTAAAAAATTGAAAGGACTATTTTCGAGAAATGCCATAAAATCAAACTTAAAAGTTGTGGTGACTCATTTAACACAAAAAAAAATTTTTCTCCATTAAAATAAAAAATTAGAAAATTATAACAAATACTTAAAAAAGATGTATAATAACTTTTCTTAGAAATTAATTTTATTACAAAGAAACATTTTGTAAAATTATACTTTGTATTATTCATTAGCATATTGATGTAAGTGTATGAAATTAAACAATATGGTGCAAGGCAACATGTGCTACAAAGACCAAGTAATATATTTTTAAAAAATATTTAAAATATCAAGTAATATTGTAATTTAACACAAATAGTCAAAATTAAATTAACTACAAATGACCCTTTTCACACCTTTTCTTTACCTTCTACATACTTAATGCCAACTCATCACTTCATGTCATCTTAGGAAATCCACATAGTTGACTCAACCACATTTTTAAATTTTAACAAATGCTCATAAAATTACTTAGATTTTATATTTTCAAATAGAAGAAATAAACACAATTATATAAAATATCAATCAAGGATATAAAGAAAGAATTTCTTAAAATTTCAAGGAATGTGAAAGTAATTGCAAAATAGATTTACCCACCATGTGATATTTTTTCATTCCATACGTTTAAGTCGGACTTTGTTAATAAAATTTTAATCTAAAATTTATTGAAAGCTATTAAAAAAAAATGTAAAAAATTCACTGAACTCTAAAGAATGGAGGAGAAAAAAAACTTAAATGACATCTACAATTCGATCGATCGCTTCGCGACTTAACCCCACAAGATTTTTACAGTTGGGTGGAACTCATGAAAAATTTTTTTAATTACTTAACAAGATGAGCTAAAAAAAAAAAGGGAAAAATAAACTGCAAAGCGATAAATAACAAAATTAAAAAGTTCTAAGCAATAAAGTATTCATTCTAATAATTAAATTAACCATTTTTTTGCTTTCAACATGGAACCAAAGATGGGTAACAAATTTGCCAAAATTCATGCAATAACACCGTGTAATAATACGAACAATATTGTAATATAGATAATTAATTAGTTACAAAGATATATAGATAATTATGAAATATGCACAACAGATATGTTAAAAAATTGAATAAAATACTTAGCATGCGGTCTATTACCGGCGTCCGCCATTAATAAAATATATTAAATTTTAAAACGCAAACCTTTGATATTTTTTACTCAAAATAAAAAAAAATAAAAATTTAAAATCCTAACTTACAATAAAACTGTAAATTAATAAAGGATGGAAAACCCTTCCCTAAAACTTCAAACGATAATTTTAAATAACAATCACAACTCACCAAAGAGATGCCACGGCAGAAAGAGAATAATGAACGATGAGAATGAGGGCTACTAAGCATGCGTCATTTTCGTGCATACGTCATACTTAAAATTTTTTTACAATTTATTTATTTTTTTTTTTTAAATAAATATATTTTAATTGAAATTTAATTAAAAATAAAATAAATTTTTTTTTTAAATATAAATTTTTATTTTTTCAATTTAAAAAATGCAATTAATTTAATTTATATTTGTATAAATGAAATAAAATTAGGGTGAACCTCAGGGAAAAGAATGAACGAATATAATTTTACTTGCCGACACGATATTTTAAAGTATTTTGCGCGTTTTTGGTTTGCAATTATTAATTCAAATTTTTATGAATATTTTTAAGTAATACTTTAAAAATACGTCATTAAAATTTTTTTAATATTTATTTTAACATAAAAGTACAATAAAAAAATATTTTATATTTTTTAAAAAGATATTATTAATTGGAAATGATTCTTTTTAAAATATTAATATTCCCGTTATGCCTTTAAAAATTTTTTTTCCTAATATCAAAATTATTGTGCATGCACTTTTTTTTTAAACTTCAAATTAAAATTATTAATTTATCTTAATAAAAATATTTATTTTAAAATGAAAACTATATTTTTACTACTGTCCACAAAACTAATATTGTATATTCTTTGCAAAATCAAATGGCATGTAATAGAAACTAATAAATTATAGAATTAAAAAAAAAAAAATGGCGACATATATTGTCTATTCTTGTGAATCTATCAAACGAAATTTTAAAGACTATAAATTCTGTCATGTTTTTCTAGAAATTTCAAAATTGTCTGATTTTATTTTTATTTTACAATTTATATTGTTGTTCAATGTATTTCGTGATTTACGATATATTTTTTCACTAAAACTTGGATTCTGTTTAAAAAAAAAAAATATATATAGGTATTTTTAGGTATTGTAATAATAAATGATAAAGTAAAAGATAAGAGAAAAATAAAAAAAAAATTAAAAAATAAAAAATTACAAAAATATTATTTATTTTAAACGTCTTTATATTAAAGATCACTGATAAAAAAAATTAATTATTAAATTTTTTTTTTTTTTTTAATAAGATTAAAATTAATTACAGGTAACTATTGCAAATTATCATCATGTTCATAATGATCTTCACGGTCATAAGATGACTCTTGATTTTTTAAACGTTCCTGTTTCATTATTTGTAATTTTAAGTGCTGTACTCTTAATTTGTGAAGTTCTTCCCCCCTGGACAATTCTAATTCTGCTGCCCTTACTCTGGCATCCATTTCCTGTAATCTTAATTTGTATATATTAAACCTTTGCCTCCTCTTTTCTTGTAAATGATGCAGTCTTACTTCTAGTTCTTTTTCAGCAATATGCTTAACTATTTCATCTGAGTCTTTGATCTCGCACCCTGGAAAAGGATTTAAGTCAATAACATACCCTTATTAAAAATTTAATCACTACAAACTAGAACATGATGAGAAAATAATTAATAGAAAAATTATTATAAAAAGCTAAATGGAAATTTTTTTTTTTTTTTTTTTAAATTTCTCATGTAAATTACCTAATGAATTTAAACCTAATTTTTCTAATTCTGCTTCTTTTCTTTTTTGATCTATTAATTTTTTTTCTTGGTATGCTGCTTCAGCTTTCATCTCTTTAATCATTTGTTGCGAATCGGATAAATCATCATCATCATCGTAATCATCATCTTCGGTATCTGTTCCGTATTGTTCAAGCAAAATACCTGTCCTCCTATCGTCTTCGCACTTTTGATTTGTATTTTGAGTTTCATTGGACTAAAATTAATTTAATTTTTATAATTAAGTTTAAATGTTTATTATTTTTTCAAAATTGATTTCAAAAAAAAAAATTTTCCTGTTTTTTTTTATTACCATTTTTATAACTTGAGGAGTCTTTGAGGTTTGTCTTAGTATGGCTGGCATTGTTTTCCCAGTAACATTTCTTTTTGTTATTGTTGTATTTCCAACGTTAATAATAGTCCCCTTTGAAATGGAACTCGCTTTTTTGGGTACAGACGTTTCCATTTCACGAGAATTTTCCGTCATTTTTTCATAATCTTCCATTTTCATTTCCACCAACGTTCCATCTTGCATTACATCTACCATAATTTTAATAAATTGTTAGTCATTAAAATAATATTAGTCTAAATTATAAACTTTAATTTTAAATTAAAAAATTTTTTTTGATTGTAAAATGTTTTTAAATGTTACTTGAAATGTAATATTTAATAAAGAAAAATTTTAATTTAAGTAAAATATTAAATTTCGATTTTAAATGATATAAGATAACTGTTTGAAATAAATCAAACATATTTTATGTTTTTAACATTGCCTTCGATAAATTAAATTTAAAATATTTAAAACATTTATGTGTATATGTATAAAATATAATAATGCAAATATAAATATATAAATAAATTTAAATTTTTTTTCAATTTAACCGTCTCCTAAACATCCTTATATTTAATGAAAAAAAAACTTAACACAACCCTACTATGTACAAATGACAAAAGAATTAAATCTCATACAATTATATAAAAACTATAATTTAAAATCAAAATTTAAAAATAAATGTTTCATGTAATCGATTATTGTACTTACGAAAGACTAAATGTGAGTCGACAGAATTATCAGCAGGAATCTGCAATGTTGGTACAACAGTTAAATCGGAAGTGTTCATATTATTCTCTTCTTTTTTAGAATCTTCCTGCAATTAAACGAATCACATTTTTAATCATAATAATTCAACAAAGCTAAACTAAAAGTACTGATATAGGCTATGTATAAATTTCACAAAATTTTGTTTTTTTAAATTTAAAAAAGAAAATGCAAATAAACTTAGAATATTAATTTTTTAAATTGAAAATTTATTATAAGTTTACTTATATATATTGCATATGTCGTTGCACGCAAATATTGACGTTAATATAATATTTATATGTTAAACATGTTATTATAAATTGAAACCTACCATATTAATAACGTCTAAAATGGCTTTTGGAGGGCTAGAATCTATAAGATTACCCTTTAACTGATGTAGTAATATAAGATCAGAATGCTTTTTTCCAGAAGCATGCTTTTCAAGTTCACTATGACCACACAACAAAACAACGTTGCAAACTGAGCACCAACACCTATCAAAATTAATTTAAAAAAAATTATAAGTAACATTTAAAAAAATTTTTTTTTTTTTTTGATATATATATATAAAAAAAGATGGTAAACATAAAACACAGATTAAAATTTGAAAAATAAAATGGAACTATTTTAGTGAAATAAACTTTCGTGGAACAAAAATTTTGCACAAAAGTAAGAAAGCATTCCTAAAAAAAAAAAAACGGAAAAATTTTTTTCGGAATAAAAAAAAAAAAAAAATACAAACGTGTTCGTTTAGAAAATACTAACTTTTCGCTAAGATTAGGAATAGGTTGTAACCATCCTCTAAAAATGGGTTCCTCCATCCATTCCTTACGAAACTTTTTAACAAAGGCTTTGCGCTTTTTTACTTTTCCTTCCGCATTCTGTATTAAGCGTCTTTTTAAAACATCTCTATTATTTAATTCAACGGATTTTTGTGAAACAACTGAACTGATATAAATATTTCCTGTAGAATTATTATTGTGTGCAGAATTTGAAACCTGCATTACCCCTTCATCTATACTTTCAGGCTCGGCTTCATTTGTTACCGACGCCATCTTGCACGCGAACTGGCATTCTTTATAAAAAAAATATTACCAGAGGCTTACTACGAAATATTGGAGTTTTATTTTGAAAAAATAAATAAATCTATTTTTCTATCAAATGACAATATGCTTCTGTATTTATATTAAAAATATTTCTTTCACCTCAACATAACCACAAATTTCATTATTTATTTCCAACGGCCGGCAACATTTGAAAAGTAATAAGACATAGACTTTTTTCTAAAACGTGTAAATGAAAAACAAAGTTATTTATTCGTTAATAAAGTAATATGTCAAATTTTCTATATTTCGTTAGAATTCGTGTATTTGACTTTTCGTAAATAAACATTTCGAAATAATTATAATTATTACTAATTAAATTTTTATACACAATGTCTTTAAAATGTTTTTTTTTTAAATCTTAAGATAATAGCCAATTAATTGAGCTAAAATTGCCATTAGGTTTTTGAAATTTCTTCTGCTAAGTAAAGAACATATTAGTTTTGTTATATTGTCAAGATGTCGAATTTCTTCTTTAAAGTATTTTCTGTTAAATCGTTCAGACCCCTATCAAAGCAATGGCAAAGAAAAAAGTGCCAAGAAGTCATCGTTGTAGGTTCTAGAAAAATAAGTTCACATGTGTTATCAACAAACTTCAGTTCAAATACAAAGATACTCAGTAAAACTTTCAAACACTTTAAATCAATTCAAATAACTTCTCAATTAAAGTACTGTGATGAGAAAAAAAATAAAATTATAACCTTTAGTGATTTTGAGAAGTGGAGCGTCAAAAATAAAGAATCATTTTTGGAAACAGTAACGAGTTTTTTTTACTTAACAAACAATTTATTGTGTCACTACAAATTATGCACATGATGCATACAATATTTGTAATTATTTTAGATTCGAATTTATGAAGCTACTTTTCCTAACAGAAAGGGGCATGTTGAGTTTGTTGAATCAGCTTTAAAACAAATGGAAACTTATGGAGTTCATAAAGACATAGAAGCCTATAAAAGAATTATAGATATATTGCCCAAAGGTGTTTTTGTTGTTAAAAATAAATGGCAGGCAACTTTTTATAATTATCCTAGACAGCAGTTTGCTGCTATTGAAATGCTTTCAAAAATGGAACACTATGGTTAGTAATTACCATAAATTACAAAAAATCGAAAAATTTTTTTTTTTTTAAATTTCTGTAAATAATGATTTTTAGGTGTCTTGCCTGATGCTGAACTTGGGTCTATATTAATCAGTATTTTTGGTAAATTTTCACAACCTTGTCTGAAATATTTTGAACAATTATATTGGTGTATGAAATTTAGAAATAAGTCTCCCTGGTATTTACCAAAGCAAGTTCCATCTGATGCATTTTTACTCGCACAAATGGCAATGGAAAGAATTACATCTGTTGACGTCAAAACTGAGATTTCAGTATATCAGGTAAAAGAATCTTTTTTTTTTTACACTAAAATTTGGTTACATTATTATTTTTGTCTTGGTTTTTTTTGAATGTTTTATTTTACTTTTTAAAATTTTCTCAAAATTTTTTTGGGTCATAAATATTTAATACAAAGTAATCTGAAAACGATTGGTCTTACAGAGTTTACTTTTTTTTGTTTTTTTTTCTTTAACACAGCAATTAATTGTATTTTATTGACAGACAGATGATTTGTTGGAATCAATTGATAAAACTTGGATAATAAGTGGACAGAGCCCAGTTCAAAAAAAACTCTTGAACAAGCACCCTTCAAGTACGCCTCTCAGGGTTGAGGGAGGTGACTTTGTTTGGCTTAGAGACCAATTTGTTAATTATTTTGTGTTAAAAGCAGACAGAGATGAAACATGCAATTGGGTGCCACCCAAAGAAAATGAAGGTTGGAAACTTTTTTTTAAAAATTATTTAAAAGTAATACACTTTGGGTTGTATGTTCAACCATATGTATTTTTACAAAAAAAAAAAAAATGAATTTAGCATATAGAAATCGAGAACATATTTTGACAACTATGTATATTTTATTTGTAAGTGAATTGTTTTAATCCCAACATTAAAAATTTTTTCAGATTTACTAACTATGGAATCTCAATATTTTAACCCCAATTATTCAAATCCAGAAGAGCCTACTAAAACAGTTCACCATCAAAACGATGGAATAGTTTTGGCTATTGCAATAACTGGTACTTCTAGCAAAGATAGTTTATTGTCATGGATTCGTTTTCTAGAAAAAAATGGAAATTCTGGACTGAAAAATATACCAATATTATTTAAATTAAAAACTCCTGAAAGAGTTCCTGTAACTCAATGAAACTCATGTATAATAATGTGTATACAATGTTAATAATTTTAAATAAATAATTAAAATAAATCAAAAACTTTTTTTTTATCCTAATATAAAAATTAGTTTTTTAAAGGACAGGTTCTACTATGGTTATTTAAATACTACGAAATTTGTATTTTTACACGTACTTTTAAGAAAAAACTTTTTGGAAGTTAATCTACCAACTGACATAAACATGTGACTAACTTCCAATTTAAAAAAATTTAGAAATTTTCAATGAAGTAACACTCCTATGTTAATGATAATATTGTTTGATATTATTCTATGTTAATACAAAAATTTTGAAAGTCAAATAATTGCAATTGTATAAAAAAAAGAGAAAAAAATATTTCCATTGATTGATAGATAAATTTCAATATTCTACAGAAAGTCATATTAGCTGGTACAGCTAACGCAGGAACCAATCCCAACGTGATTGTAAAAAATACAGCAACGACGCTTACGGAGAAATAAAAAACTAATTTCTGATTTTATTAGAAATCATTTATTGAAATCCAGTTTACTCGGCGACACACACTACATGCAAAGTTGTTAAAAAAAATATGTTTTGAGTTTCGCAACATTTAAATCCCTGTACAAAAATTTGTTTTAATTTAATGTGATTTTAATAAATAAAAGTGATTATTAGGATTTACAAAAAAAAAATTGCTAAAAGTTTATCATTAATTTTTCATGTACGATTTCAAATGAAAAAAAAAAATTAAGGTGAAGTTAAATAATAATAATAATTTGATTTTTTTTTTTTTTTTTAAATTGGTTAATTCAGTGTGGAAAAATGTAATTTTAAATATTGTAATTAACAAATTTAACTATTGATGATTTTAATTTAAATTCAGTAAAAGATATTATATCATGCTTTCTTTCTTAAAATTAATTTTATAAATTATTTTATTAATGTGAATCTCTTTTATGAAAAAAAAAAATTAATGTATTACATGCATGTACATATGTGCAAATACCCTTTTTTAAATGTGTATATAATTCAGTAAAAGCTTGATATAATCATTTTTTTTTTTGTTCAAATTCTAAATATATAATGAATTAATTATTTTACTGTAACAATTAATTTATATTTTTTTACAATTTTCATATGGCAAGTGTAAGAAGGAAGTTTTTAATGCAAATCATTATATATGTATATTATCTAGACAAGTTATCATGAAATTCAATAGAAATTCTTTTAAACTTATTATTTGTCAGTAAAAATTTGAAATTTTTTTTATATTATACAAACATAAAATGAGTTAATTAAATTAATTATATACTGATATTTATAAATATATTTAATTTAATAAACCATCTTAATATTTTAGACAACTGGCAAGAATTTTTTTTTTTTTTTTTTTTAACAAACACAAAGTTTGAACATATTTATCTTAAATGTCTAAAATTAGTTAATTTTCGTTTCAAAAAAAAGAAAAAAGTAAAAGAATTTCTGACGTAATTTGCAAAGAGAAGCAGAAATTCTATATAATAATAATAATAATAATAATTTTTTTTTTTTTTTTTTTTTTTTTTTACAGCACGAAGCATTAAATGGGCTGAAAAAAGGAAAAACGAGACTATTGTAATCAAACCAGAGTTTATTTTTTTTTTTTTGTAGAAACTATTCATTGCATTCTGAATCATTTTGTTGTTATGTCTTTAGAAAATTTATATTATTTATTCAACAATTTTTCTCTTATTAATAATAATATTAATATTTTATAGTGCGCGTTGTGATTATGATGATGATGATGATGATGTCGAAAATCGTAATAAAAATGTTTAAAATTGAAAAAAACTTTAGTGCGGTGATATTATTTTTTTTATTTTTAAATATAAATTTTGTGTTTTCAAGTCCCCCAACAGAACGTTTAAAATTACGGACTTTTCGATTTTCATGTTACGCCCTTGAACCTCTTTTATTAAAATTAAATTCAACCGTGCCGGAAAATGTAGTTAATGGTGAGTTTCTCCCATTATTATTATTATTATATATACATATAGATTACTCTAATATTGTATTGATTGCATTGGATATTATTATTATTATTATTTAAATAATTGTTATAATTTACATTACCTGAGAATCAATTTTTTTTTATCTTTATTGATGAGTTTATGTAAAAAGTACAAGTTTTTATACAAATAAAAAAATTAACGGTCGATTTTTTAAATTGAGCATTTAAAAAGGTTGGTTGGTTTATCTATCTTGCATCGAGAGTGAGAGAGAGAGAGAGAGAGAGAGAGAGAGAGAGAGAGAAAATCAAATGGTTTTTCCCAAATTGTTTTTTTTTTTTTTCATGTGTAATTGTAGAAGAGTCAGTCAGAAGGGATTTTTAATGTCAACCTTTTTAGTTAATTCTATCTTAAATATGTTGTTTGCAGAGTTTAAGTTGTAAAAAAAAAAAGAAAAAAGTTTACATAATTATTTATACCTTTGTAATCATTTGTTCTAATAATTGGGTGACAGATAAAATTATCTGATTTTTATTTAAGTATTACATGACTAACATTGTTTAGCCTAATGGGGTTGAAATTTCAATAAGTTAATAATAAAATTAAATGATTATTGTAAATTGAAAACGGATTTTTTTTTGAAAATTAATTAAAAGTTAACGACAAATGTAACAAAATTCATTAAAATTTCAGATAAAAAAAAAAAATGCCTTTGAAAAAATAACGGTTTTGAAACATTCAATTGATTGTTTCAAAAAAGTTTGTAAATAATTCGCGATACCGGAAGAATTTTACCGTTAAAAAAAAAAAAAGCAACCTTAATGTAGTCGCAATTTTCTAGTAAGAAATTTTCCGTCAACAAAAAAAAAAAAATAACGTCAATTTTCGTCTTTAAGCGTCCATTTTGAATTTCCGTCAGAGTCTACAAAAATGCTCAACAAATAAATTTTTGTGATGCTGCTATTTTTTATTTCAATTAAAATTAATTAATTTTTTTTTTTTTTTTATTAATCAAAAAATTAAGAAACTTGAACTTAAAAAGTTAAATTTTTTATTTTGGTTAAATGATTTTGTCATTTTTGAAAAAAAAAATGTATATAAGCATGTACTTACCCATGACAACGTACAGAATGATTGTTTTAAATTTTTTTGTATTTTTATACAACTTTCCCTTTTCTTCTACCGGTTCTGTAAAAATTCCCAAGTTCTTTGAAGACGATTCCAGGTTTGTACTAGATTTCTCAAAACCGGATACTTGAAAGTTCTTTTTCTTTTTGAGAGAGAATGTATGACGTATCACGTGATACAAATTATTGTTTTACATTTAGTCTTCCAATATTATTATTCTCACGATGACCAAAAATTTTATTTATTTTGACTCTTTCTTCACAAATTTCTCGCCATTTTTGTTGGTTTCCACAGCTTCCAAATCCACGTGTATGAGAGTATGAGTATCCATTTCCCTTCTTCCCCCTGCAACAAATTTTATTAAACACTTTAAAAAAAAAAAAAAATATTTTTGTCTATCTACTATTATCGAACGATGGAAAATAGATGATGTATTGTTTCCCATTACGATTCGCCATTTGTTTCCTCAACGGATTTTGAAAATTACTTTTTCTTTTAATTATACGAAACTTGTTCCTGTATGCAACGTCAATGAATGATTGTTATTATTATTATTATTATTAAAACAAAGTAATTTAGTTTGCATTGTAAGCATATATATTTTACATTATATAACTTTAGCAAAATTACAACTTCATTTTGATATTTTAACTAATAATACTTAATATTTTATTTAAAAAAAAAAAAAAAAAAAAAAAAAAAACATGTTAAAGTGTTAATTTTTTAAGAAATGAAAACGTTTGCATATTTATTTAATTGATGAAATGCTTGGATAGCTATTTAATTCTTCATTGAAAATCAAATTACTGTTAAAAGTAACAATAACAAGATATTTTTCATTTTGTAAACATAATAATTAAAATTATATATTTAATGTAAATTTTTTTTTTTTTTTTTTTTACAGGTACTCCAGATTCAGTTGCAGCAAAGATTTGTCTCCAACCTGTTGCACTCCTGAAATAGAAAATAAATTAAAATACAAGTTCGGGAAATTTTAGAAATTTGCTGTATCATAATTCGAATCCGTCGAAGGGTTCTTGCACGACAGTTAAATGTTGGAGGTTAGTCATATTCTTAAATGAATGTATTTCCTATGATTTTTTTTTTTTTTTTTAAATATAAATCTAAAAAAAAATAATTAAAAATAATATATATTAATTTCTCTCTGTCTGTGTGAATCTGCTTCAGACGTCGTATATATGCAAAAGTATAAACATAAAGAATAAAATTTAAATTTTGTCGTTAAATGATCAAACATGACAATAAATAAAATAAAATAAAAATTTTTTTCAGAATGAGTTAAAAATAAAATGAACAAAACTCAAGGATGATACACTAAAATAACTTTTTTTTTTTTTTTTTTTTTTTTACATAACTTTTTCTTTGCAACGTTGGCTTATTTTTTTTCTTTTTTCTTTCATTACAAATTAAACATTTTTCATAGAATAATTATCTATTTAGAAATAAAAAAAAAAAAAAAAAAGTAGTCTTTCTTGTTTTCGAGAATTTAAATTTTCAACCAAAAATGAATGTAATTCTAATTAATATAACTCATGCTAATAAAAAAAAAAAAGTTTTTCGTACACATTTTGAGAGTGTAATGTGCTCATGTAAAATCTAAAAATTTATAAAGTTTCTTTACAATGATTTAGTAAAAACTCAAATAAATTTGGTTTTTATTATTTGAATATTTTTGACAAATACAAATGGCAAATATTATTATCATCATTCCCGAGTTATTCGATATGATAAAATAACAAAACCATTGAAAGTCAGGCAGGGAATGGAGTTTTATTTCACATGATAATTAGGATTAGTAGGTACACTTTACATTTTTAAGACGTCAAAGAGAGAGAGAGAGAATAGTTATATAATATTAAATTTTTTTTTTTTTTTTTATTTCTAATTGAACATGACATTTTTTAAATTCTGGAAGAAGTTTAAAGATCCTATCTGTGATTTTTCTTTTTCTCTTTTTTCCAACCAATTTAATTACGTTCAAAACTTTCCCTTACTTTTCCAGTCTCGTTTTGCTATTATTAATCATATTTCTGTTTTTTTTTTTATTTTTATTTTTAGATCACATGGTAGACCTTATAAAAAGGTCGGAAAACACGACCCTCATTCTATTTCACCAAGTTTATAAAACAATGGCTATTTTGTCAACGGAACCGATTCACAAACTTTACGAAGATATAATTTTCCAGGGGACTCAAAATAGAGAAAGAACGGATGTGACATTGCCACTGGAAATAGCCGTATTGAACTTTTTTACAAATCTTTTCCCGTTGGTTTATCACCACACGGTTAACCCCACACTGAGAGACTATTCTGAAAAATACAAACGATGTTTGAGAGAGACTATTTTAGAAATAAAACCTTTTGGTGACATACCAAAAGAATTAGGGGAAAAAATTGGTAAAGCGTTGAAAGCTGTGAAAGTGTTTTTAGACGCTTTGCAAGTGGGTGCTGACGTCCTCAATCAAACGGATTCGCTTTTTGATTCGAATACAAACGACAAATGTCACACGGAACTTCTTAGAATGTCTTTTTGTCCAAAATGTAAAAATATTTTGGCCAAACCTTGCATTGGTTATTGTTTGAACGTGTTTCGCGGATGTCTGACAAAGTTCTCAACACAATTAGATCTTCCCTGGAGCGGTTACGTGGATTCCCTAAAACAATTGGTTATGGGAAACAACAATGGCGACGATAAACTCTATACACATTTAATTTCCGATATGGAAAACATTGTTAGAAGTCTCGATACGAAAATATCAGAAGGAATAATGAACGCCATGCTCAACGGTAAACATTTAGAAGAAAAGGTAAGTTAATACATATTATTTTTTTAAATTTTAATTTAAGCTACATATGTTTAAAAAAAAAAAAAAAAAAATGGTTAAAACTTGGAGAAAAAAAAAAAAAAACTAATAAAATAAATTTTTTTATTAGATTTTTACTGTTTTAACATTTTAATATTTTTTAACAAGTAAAAGAAATTTTTTTTTTTGCTGAATTTAATTTTGAAATCAGATTTTATTTATTCAGATAGTGTTGAATTTCTTTATTTAAAAAATTAGATTGTTAGCAAAAAAAAGAGAGAGTGAGAGAGAGAGAGAAAAGAAAGAGAAAAAAAAACAGTTATTCGTTTTGCCCCCCCCTTCCCCCACCCCCACCACCCCCGTTTGATATTGATTTTTTTTATTTTAAAAAATTGAAAATTATATGTATTACCACGATAAAGTTTTTAATATCAACGTTTTTTTATTCGTATAAATAATATTTGAAAAAATTCTAAAAGTAATACTTAATAATAATAATAGTTTAATTAATTTTGAATAATCCGAATTAATATTTAAAAAAAATTTTTATTGGTAAAATCCTAATTAAGCGCACACGCACACACACACACACACAATAAGAATTACAATACTTTTTCTTAGAATGTAAAAGATCATTTTTCTTACATAAAAACTGCATGTGCGAGTGAAATTTAAAATGACGAAAAAAAAAAAATCTATTTTTTTAAAATACAGAAAAAAACCCCTCATTTCAAAAAAAAAAAAAAAAATTGCTGGTTTGACAACATGATTCAAATTTCTTTAAAAAAAAAAAAAAAACTACAAATAAGGCAAAATTATTATTATTATTTTCCTTTACCACGGTTAAGAAAAAAAAAAAAAAAAAACGGTTATTAATAATTGAGAGAAAAAATTTTTTTTATAATTTTAATATAACACATTGTGTGTGAAAAAATGGTTTACCTGTCGCGAAAATAATTAAAAGAAAGGTATTTTCATCCCCCCAAAAAATATTATTATTATTATCACATTTTGTCGCCATCATCAAATTTTTTTTTTTTTAAATTTCGAGCATTGAAATCCCCTCGTTCGTAAATTTTTATCTTTGATAATAATGATAATTGATTTTCATACTTTAAATAATTAATTATTAATTTAGGTTAAATAATAATTTTTCTTTCGCTATTTGAAAATATCATTATTATTATTATTATTATTTATCCCCGTTAGAACGAAATAAATAATTTCAAGGTCAAATAAATGCAATTTAAATAAAATGTGAGACATTTATTATAACAAAAATATCGATTATGTATTATTTCAATCAATAATTTTACCAATAAAATCTTTTTTAAAAAAAAAAAAAAAAAAATTAACCAAGTCAAGGATGATAATTTATTAATTTTTTAGTTTTATTAGTAGAGAGAGGAGAGAGGGGGGGGTTTATTTATTTAATTTGAAATTTAATATAAATAAATCACTAAACAATTTATTTATATAGTAATTTTACACTTGAATGAATTAGATTAGAGTCGGTTTTCCCTTTTTTCTAATATTATTTATTCAAAATATTGTCTCGTAGAAAAATCGATCAATTTTTTATTAATTGCTCCCGTCTTTTTTTTTAGTTTAGAATTTGACAGAACCAAAAAGTAATTTAAAAAATAAGAAATTCTGTTGGTAATACTGGAAATACGGTTATCACGGGTTGTGTGTAAATTAAATGATTTCAGGTACTCGCTATTATTTAGATACCTTTAATGCCAAAAAAAGAAAGAAAGAAAGAAAAGATATATATAAGAATAAGTTGTATTGTGTTAAAAGTATAATTTGTACCTGTGAGTTTTTTTTCTTTATATTCAAAACATTTTATTGTATTTTATTATTTATTTTTTATTATTTCTGCCTTCATTTTATTTAAAATTCAATTTTGTCCAACCTGAAAAAAATTTCCCCTTATTTAAAAAAAAAAGAAAAAATTTTTTGAGTCAGGGAAAATTATTTTAAAACTATATAGATTTCATTTCTTCAATTAAATTATGTAATAAGAAAAAATTTTTTTTTTTTTTTATTAAATAACTTATTTTATCGTTTAATAAGTTTTTTTTAAAAGAAAAATTAATACCATAGGTTAACAAAGAGTTTAAATAAAAACTATTAAATTCTTTTTTTTTTTTTTTGTAGTGAAGTGAAAAAGATTAAGTGGCTTTGAGACAACATTCCATACATACCATCCCCTGTCCCGCCCCGTTATGTTGCAGTCTCAGAAAGAATACCGTGTGTGTGTGTGTGTGTGCCTTGCACTCTAGACGCATTCATACCTGAAACACAAACACAATAATATTACCCTAAAAGTCAACTATTATAAGAGCTTACATAAAATTTTTTTTTTTTTTCGTTAGTTTCCTATATGAGTTAATTATGAAAATTTTTTGACGGTAGATAATGATAGCGAAGAGATCTATTATCTATTAACACGTGTGTAAATTTATATTGGTTAGGTATACACGTATGTAACACGTGCTTATCACAGGAATTTTTAAATATTCTGACATTATTTACCGAAATAAAGAATTTCTCATGGCTCTTATACAAAACGCAAATAATTTCAGACAATTCGATTATTATAGAATCGATTGGATAATTTAAAATATTAAATTATTTAATGTTGTTGTTGTTTAGTGTTTGTTAGGTTTATTTAGGTGCGCATTTATGTTTTGCTTTACAAAAAAAAAAAAAAAAAAATGTTTTTAAAGGCGCGCGGATTGAAATCAATTGAACTCGATCTTTTTTGTTCGTCGGGTTTTTTTTTTTTTTTTTTTTTTTAGTTTCTTCTCATCGTTCTTCGTTTTTATTGCAATGTAGTTTTTTTTTTTTTTTTTTTTTTGAAAATTGAATGAAATACTTTTTCGATGAAGCAGACTAACAGTCATTTTATTTAGCCTAAAGGTATTTTAATTGTACCTGTTGCTTTTTTAAATATATATATATATACTTTCCCAATCTAAAAATGTATACATATATATATATATATTCTGTAGTTTTGCAAACAAAATTGTTATTATATATTAATATAAATAAAAGTTGTAAATATAAACAAAAAATGTTGCCATTAAAAAATAAATAAATAAATAAATGAGAGTAAATTTGAACTCCATTACTATTGTACATTGATTTTACTTGAGTTACTTTTAATTTAATTATTAAATAAACTTATTTAAACTTTAATAATTAATTTATTTCATTTTTTTATTAGTTTAATAAAAGTATTTCATTCAAAGGAGCAAAAAAATCATATAATTAATTATTTATCATTGAAAAGAGTATCGATAATTAAAAAAACTTTTTTTTTTTAAACAAAAAAAAAAATTTGTTTAAAAAAAAAGAAAATTAAAGGTCACGTGTATATTAAGATAAACGTAAATTGTTTTAATAAACTTTTAAAAATAAATAAATGAATAAATTATTGTATATGTATTTCGTTTTGTTAAATTTTGTTTTTTTAAAACGAGTTTAAAATAAATTAGTTTATTTACCCCTACAGAAAATAAATATATATTATTTAATTAGAAAACTGATTTTGGAGAAAATTATTTTTCTTTTTTTAAATGAGATTTATTGTTCTTTTACGTCGTAAAAAGAAAAAAAATTAATTAACCATTTCGATTAAAAATAATTTTCTATGATTCTCCCTTTTTTCTAACAACATTTTAAAAAATATTATAAAAGTTCTTATCTTTAATTATTAATTAATTACAATTGTATTCGAGCATGGCAAAAAAAAAGTAATTAATTGATCTGTAGCAATTTATAATAATAATGATAATAAATTTTTTTTTTCTGTTCATGAAGATAAAAAAACTATGTGGTGCTCCCCAATGGTCTGATGATGATGAACAACCCATTCCTGTTGACAGAATTTATGATACAAAAAAACTTTTGGTGGATGCAAAAAGTGGTGAAATCAAAATTAGCCCCCATGTTGGAACTAGAAGCATGTCTAGAAAATTGGAAGGTGAGTAAACACACAAATATGTATATATTCATTATGTTTGTTATCGAACGGTTGTTGTTGTTGTTGTACAAAAATGTTTTTTTAATTTTATAATTAATTAATTAATTGCAAATAATTCTACCGTGTTTAAAAATGGTCATTAAAATTGAAAAATAATAATAATAATTAAAAAAGTAATAAAATAAAAAAAATTATTTTTATTTTATTTTTTATTCAATTGCATTAGTTGCGAAATTTATTATTATTATTATTATTTTTTACGAGGGTCATTTAGTGAAATATGTTTTTTTTTTTTATCTTTTATAATCAATTTTCTATATAATTATTATAAAAAAAAAAAATATTTATATAAATATATTATTGTTTTAGAATCACAAAAGCAACTCGCCATTCAATTAAAACATTTTTTGTCAAGCATTGAAAAAACAAAAGATTTTTATGCAAATATGGCGGAATCATTGTGTTCAGATGATTCATTTGCTGAAACGAGGGATACGGCCGATTGTTGGAATGGACAAACTGTCGGAGAGTAAGATAAATTTTAAATTTAAATTTTTTTTTTTTGTCCAAAACTTATAATGGTTTAATTAATAACTCCTCCATCTTGGAATTTCCCTCTGTCCCCTCCCCCCTTCCTTTTTTTTTTAATTTTAAATTTTAAACTTTTCAGGTTTATTTCACACGCTTTATAAATATATATATACATAAAATTTTAATTAATGTTTGGTAATTATTGTTTTTTTTTTTCATGTTATTTAACTAAATTTAAAAAAAAAAAAAAAAAAAAAAACATAACCAAACCAAAAACATAAAAACTTGTTAATAATTTATTTAAAATAAAAATTTGCATCAAAACAGGTTTTTTTTTTTTTTTTGTTTGTATATTAAATTTAAATTTAAAAAAAAAAAAAAAAAAAAAACTCGACTGCGGTGGCGAATACTTAAAGTTGTTTTACATTAGTTTTATTTTTTTTAATTCATAAAAAAAAAAAAATATAAAAAAAAACCTAATCGTTTTCATATAATTATTTATTTTTAAAAAATTTTAAGTTTTCTGAACCCTACAAGACAAAATACATTTAAAGACATAATTTCCACATTATTATTATTATTATTATTATTATTAGTATTGGTATTAATAGGTATTGTTTGTTACTTTATATTTTAAAAAGTTATATATGTATACTTATTTTAATAAGAATCCGTTTTTTTTTTTGGAAACAGGTATACAAAAGCAGTGGTAGCAGCCAGTGTGAACGCACAAAAATATAATCCCGAAGTAAAATTTTCATCTGATTTCGGTGTGAGTCATTTAAGTGACAAATTGAGGAGTATAAGACAGGTACCCGGTGATTCATAATGTTGTTATGTGTGCGTGCGTGCGCGTGCACGCATCAACCGCATGAGAAATTAATAATCGTTTTATTTATATATTTTAGGCCATACTTGGGGTTTTATCGACCCCGCCAGAAAGTGACATGTATTTACGAGACGAAGAAGGCAGTGGATCAGGTTATCCAACAGATTCTTCTAAATACCCGGACGATGACGAAGAAATTTTCAATAACGGAGAAGGCAGTGGTTCGGGTTTTAGCGATATCGGTACGTTTGACGTCATCGAATTAAGATTTTTTTTAATTATTATTTTTAATAATGCGAAATTTTTCTTTTGTTTTTTTTTTAGATAATTCAAACCGAAAAATAAAGAAGAAATTATTCCAAATAATATTTATCCTAATAAAGAAAAACAACCGGCTTCTTCAGCATCCATAATTCAAACATATAGAATTTGGCTTGCAATTTTACCTTATTTTATTGTTCAGAATTATTTTAACTGATTTAAACGCTCTTTTTTTTTTAAATTTAATTTCATAAACTTATATTAATTTTTATTTATTAACTTAGTCAATATATATTGGCATTGTGGTGAAATTATTATTTTTAACATTTAAAATTCATTTTGGCTACAGGCTGTGGTTAACCGGAAATAATGAGTTTCGGACTGGTAAAAAAAAAAAAATTAAAAAAAAAAAAGCCTTTTGAATTTTAATATTTTGTCAAATTTTTTAATCGTTTTGTAACAAACAAAACCTGATTATTATTATTATTAGTCACGTGACGGTTGAAAATTTTTTTTACTTAAGTGTTGAGAAGAAGCAAAAATTAAATGTTAAATGTTAATTTAAAAGTGGTTTAATTTTACCAGAAGAAGAAAAAAAACCATTTCATTCAATTTTAATTTTAATTTTTTTTTGAATTGAAATTATATAATTATTAAATGATGAAAATATGTATGATAATTTTAGGCAGTTAATTTTAATTATTAATAGGAGAAAGAAAATAAAAAACATTATGAATGTGTGTGATTTAATTATTAAAAAAAAAAATGAAATTTTCACTCTAATTTGAGTAAAAAAAAAAAAAAAAAAAGTGTTTAAAAATTAATTCTGTGATATGTTAAAAAAATATAATTAATGATTTATTAAAAATTACCTACACTTCTTATTATAAATACTATTATGTAGAATTTAAAAAAAAAAAAAAATTAAACAACAAATTTTAGGAGGGATACAAAAAAATAATAATAAAAACTGGCCAAATTTTTTTCTGTTTTGAAGGGAAAAAAAAATGATTCGATTAAATTATTTGTGTAGTAGATATGAAGACTGAGAAGAAAAAGTTAATTAAAATTAAATTGAAAATGGATAGAAAAGAGTTTTATTATTATTATTATTATTAAATTAAAATGAAATTGTTCACCTATTTGTTTTAAATTATTATTTATTTATTGTTATATAAAAAATTTGCAAGTTTTTTATTATTGTTTATTTTAATTAAGGAAATTAATAAAAGATTTTGTTAGTACAGTCAAGTCACCTGTTAATAATACTTATTATTATTATTTCTGATGATTAATGAATTTTGTAACTCTCCTCATATTTAATCAATATAAATCTCTATAGGTTATATTATATATTAAAATAAATTTTAAAATTATGTAAAAAAAAAAAATGTGATTAATTAAAAGTTAAACGAAATGAATTTGCCTGCTCCTACTTGTCAGATGTTTATGTTATACATAAAAAAAAATATTTTTTAATTCGGCTCTGTTATGTATTTTTTTTTTATTTTTAATATCAAATAATATTATATATATAATACATAATATTATGTTATTTTAATTATTATTATTAATTCTTGCCGGATATGAAAATTTTTTAATTTAAAGAGGGTTTTGAATATAAAAAAAAGAAAATTAATCGAATGTTAATTATTATTTAATTGCTGTGCCATATATATATATATTTCATTATTAATTTTGTTTTTTTTTTTTTTTTTTTTTTATTAATAAATTCATGTTGTTTAAAAAAAAAATTTTTTTTATTATTATTATTAACATTTTATTTATTATTATTTTCATTATATATATATATATGTATGTGTAAAGTTTCTATATAAAATATTTAACACGCTTGTCGGTTTTTAGCATAAAAATCAGATTTTAAATAAATAAATAAATAAATAATTTATGAATTTTGTGAGCTTATTATGCCGCCAAATAATAATAATAATAATAATAACCTTGTGCCTCTCAGGTTTTCTCGTTACCTTTTTTTTTTTTTTTAATTTTTGGAAAATATTTAATAAGAAAAAGAAAAGAAGCCATTTTAATTAATTGTTAATAATGTTTAAATTAAGTAGTTAATAAAAAAAAAAAAATACTAACAATAGTAGAAAAAGAAGAGAAAATTTGCTTTATTAGGATCTGTTTTAAAAATAATTTTTTTTTTTATTAATAAAATTAAAATTCTTACAGATAATAATAATAATAATAATAAATTATTTAATAAAATT